CACTGCCCCGCTCCCCCCCCCGCCTCTCTTCCTCGCTCCAGGTGCTGAGGTACCAGACCCCCTCCCCCCTCAGGGTGCCGCTCCCTCAGGTGTGTCCCAGGTAGACCCGGGTGAGCCTGTCGAGGTAGCTGTTGACTCTCGTCCTGCGTCTGGGGGTGCTGAGCCTGGGGGTGCTGAGCCTGGGGGTGCTGCGTCTGGGGGTGCTGAGCCTGGGAGTGCTGAGTCTGGGGGTGCGGAGCCTGGGGGTGCTGAGCCAGGAGGTGCGGAGCCTGGAGGTGCGGAGCCTGGAGGTGCTGAGCCTGGGGGTGCTGAGTCTGGGGGTGCGGAGTCTGGGGGTGCTGAGCCTGCGCGTGCTACACCTGGAGGAGCCCTCTCCTCCCAGCAGCTGCAGGAGAGGTACCTCGAGTACTGCCGCCTCCGGAGAGGTGCTGCTGGAGCTCGTCCCGGTACTTCCCCTCCTACCCAGGAGCTCCCCCCCATTCAGCAGATCCGCGAGTGGTACACACGCCGCTGCAGTCTTCGGAGTGGTGCTCCTGGTGCTGCGGACCCTGGGGGTGGCGCTGCTGCTGGTGCTGAGGACCCGGACGTTGGAGCTGCTGCTGGTGCTGCGGACCCGCCTGGTGGAGCTGCTGCTGGTGCTGAGGACTCGGACGTTGGAGCTGCTGCTGGAGCTGAGGACCCGGGCGGTGGCGCTGCTGCTGGTGCTGAGGACCCGGACGGTGGAGCTGCTGCTGGTGCTGAGGACTCGGACGGTGGAGCTGCTGCTGGAGCTGAGGACCCGAGCGGTGGCGCTACTGCTGCTGCTGAGGACCCGGGCGTTGGAGCTACTACTGGTGCTGAGGACCCGGCCGGTGGAGCTGCTGCTGGTGCTGTGGACCCGGACGCTGGAGCTCCTACTGGTACTGAGGACCCGGCCGCTGGAGTCTCCTCTGCTTCTGGAGACGCTGCGTGGCCGCGACCGTACTTCGTATCGCTCCTTCAGCAGGTTCTTGGGCAGGCTCCTCCTCCTTGTCCTCCTCCCTCCGTAGAGTGTCCCCCGCCTGTCCAGCCGCAGTCACAGTTACCGCCTACCTCGCCTCTCCCTGCTCCCTCTCCTTACACTGGTCCCACAGGAGGTCTTACAGAGCGTCGTGAGCCTGAGTCTCGTCCTGCGTCGCCTGTTCGTCCTGCTCGCACTGGTAGTCGTGTCCGTCGTGAGCGTCCTCCTCCTGTTCCAGGGACTCACTACATGACTCTGCGTCCCTCTACTGCTCCTCAGCGTGTCCCTCTACCGTCTCCTCCTGCGTCCTCTTTGCCTGACGTTCCGGACCCTGAGTCTGACCGGTATCGTGCTGAGCACCCTACTGTCACGCGTCTCCTTGCTACTGTTGTCACTGACCCTACCTTTGAGACCTCGGCTGCGTCTGCTCTGGTCGCTGAGTTGGTTGACTTTGCTGCTGCCTGTCGTCTAGACTACGCTGCTAGCCTTGTTGCTGAGTCTGTCTGTCCTCAGTCCGTCGGGGGTGAGTGTGCTCTTGGCACGGACGTCCTTGAGGACAGACAGGAGGAGTTCCAGTGTCTTGCTGCTGCTTTGCCCCGTCTCGTGTCCTTGCTAGTTGCCCCTGAGGGAGACCCGGATGCACCAGACATCCCGACCCCGCGCACTTACGCTGAGGCGATGGCGGGTCCCTACTCCTCTCAGTGGCAGACAGCCATGGACGCCGAGATGGCTTCCTGGAAGTCCACACGCACCTACGTCGACGAGGTTCCCCCTCCTGGGGCGAACATCGTCAGTGGCATGTGGATTTTCAGGGTGAAGCGGCCGCCGGGTTCTCCGCCTGTCTTCAAGGCGCGTTACGTGGCTCGAGGCTTCAGCCAGCGAGAGGGAGTTGACTTCTTCCAGACCTTCTCCCCCACCCCGAAGATGACCACTCTTCGGGTGCTGCTGCACATAGCCGCTCACCGCGACTACGAGCTTCACTCACTTGACTTCAGCACTGCTTTCTTGCAGGGCAGCCTGCACGAGGAGATCTGGCTGCGCCGCCCACCTGGCTTCACTGGGTCGTTTCCTCCTGGTACCCAGTGGAGGCTTCAGCGGCCGGTCTACGGTCTCCACCAGGCTCCGCGTAAGTGGCACGACACACTGAGGACTACACTTGCGGCTCTTGGGTTCGCGCCTTCTACAGCTGACCCGTCACTGTTCCTGCGCACCGACACCTCGCTGCCGCCGTTCTATATCCTCGTGTACGTCGACGACTTGGTCTTTGCCACTGCTGACACTGCAGGACTCGCCTACGTGAAGTCGGAGCTGCAGAGGAGACACACGTGCACAGACCTGGGTGAGCTGACAAGCTATCTTGGCTTGCGGATCACCCGGGACAGAGCACGGCGCACCATCACCGTGACTCAGTCACACATGGTGCAGCAGGTTCTCCAGCGCTTCCGCTTCACGTACTCCTCGCCTTAGTCCACTCCTCTGCCTACCGGTCACTCGCTCTCAGCTCTGCCTTCGGATGAGTCCGTAGAGCCGAGTGGCCCGTATCCAGAGCTTGTGGGCTGCCTCATGTACCTGATGACCTGCACTCGACCTGACCTTGCATACCCTCTTAGCATCCTTGCACGCTATGTCGCTCCTGGCCGTCACAGGAAGGAGCACATGGATGCCGCTAAGAGGGTGTTGCGCTACTTGTGCAGTACGTCGGGCATGGGGCTTGTGCTTGGAGGGCGAGACCGAGTTGTTCTCACAGGGCACTCAGACGCTTCTTGGGCAGATGACCAGGCCACTCAGCGGTCGTCTCAGGGCTACACCTTCAGCCTTGGCTCTGGCTCAGTTTCTTGGCGCTCTACACGCTCTTCTTCTGTTCTCGGCTCCAGTTGCGAGGCTGAGATCTACGCTACAGCCATGGCTGCCCAGGAGCTACGCTGGCTGACCTACCTGCTGACCGACCTCGGAGAGCGGCCTCGTTCTCCTCCAGTACTGTACGTCGACAACAAGGCTGCCATTGCCTTGTGTGAGGAGCACAGACTGGAGCACAGAACGAAGCACATCGCCCTGCGGTACTTCCTTGCTCGAGAGCTGCAGCAGCGCGGTCAGCTTTGTATTCGCTACGTGGCCACTGAGGCCAACACTACTGATGTGTTCACCAAGGCGCTTCAGCCTTGTGACCATCAGCGCTTCTGCACTCTACTAGGCCTTGTGCCTACTGGACCTCACTTGCTTACCTCTTGACTTTGCTTGTACTGTGATCACTATATATATCTATACCTGCATGTTTACTCTTGCTAGGTTGTGATCACTGTATCTCGTGCTCTGTTATAAACCTGCATGTGAACTGGTCTTGTGACCACTAGCTTGTGCTCGGAATTTGTGTGGAATCCTTGAGATCCACCCTGAGCTTGTTGTTGCCTTGCTTTGCCTTGACTGGTCTTGTGACCCCTAGGTCTCCCCCACTTTGCCTATGGGGGTGTGTCAAACATTGTATATGTTATATTTGTGTAGGCTGTAGTGGGTTAGCCTATAAGGGGGTCACAGCGTTAGGGTTTCATATTTGTACTCACATTCCATTCTAGTTCACCATTCCAGTCTGTTATTTTTGACACAGCGCCCTGGACATTGCTCAAGTGCCAAGTTGCGGTCGGTTGCGCTTGATGTACCACGTCAACCTCGAGATACCAGCCAGAGATTGGCTTCGCCTAAACCACCAGGGCGACGTCCGCAAGCCCCCGCAGATCTTCATCAGCCATGTTATATGGTCAACTAGAGGTGGGCGCCAAGGTCCACAAGTCGGCGCCCCCCCAAGTTGGCGCCATGTGGACAAGCACCTTCCCCACTGCCGACTTTACCTCGTCGACGAACATCGCAGCCGGCTTCGTTGAAGTCTGCTCTGCTGTAGCTGACTTCTTACGAGTCGGCTCACCATCGAAGTCGGCTAACCACGCCGAATTGATCCTTCGAGTCGGCGCCGACTTGAATTGTAGGAGCCCGCCATCTGATATATGTATTTGTCGATTTCCCAGGGTTGACACCACTGGCGAAGCATCAGAGCGGCATGCCAACCCTGTAGCAGAGTGGCTTGCCAGTAGCAGAGCGGCCTGCCAACGCTGCAGTAGGGTAGCCTGCCAGCGCTGCATATGTAGGTTAATATCCTGTGCACATGTGCGCACCTACAAAGTAGGTGTAAGTTGACGGTTGCACCGTCAAGCATATTGCGTAAGTGCCAAATAGAAAACACCTCGACGGTTTCGCTGAACGTCCACCGTCGTGCACGTGATGATGTTCCGCATATTAACTTTCGCCAATACATTCCGGCCGAAATTCGCATATTTCTGCAGAGTTTCGTTGTCGGGCGAATTTAGCTGACCAGTTTGCCGAGACTCGATTCACCAAAAAGTGCCATTCAATCCAAGGATGAGGCTCCTAGAAACAGGGCTCATCAAACTGGAGGACGGCTTCTGAGAAAGTGCCCCGTCCATCTGAGTTTGTTGACGGGCCAGCCGATCACAGTATGGGCTCGTCGAATAACACCCTATCGATTTGAGCTTGTTGATGGGCTAGCCGACCAGAGGACGGCCTCATAAAAAACCACCCCATCAACCAGAGGACGGGCCAGTTGAGGATCTATGCCGCCTAAACCCGGAAGCCAATTCCACGACCGCTTCGTCGAATTCACTATGTTGTCGAAGAGAATACATACGCCGAGGTGAGGGCAGGGTCTTTCACTACAACACTCCCCTGCCCAACGCAAACTTCGACACTTTACCTGCAAAATTCCGTCGAGGTTAGTGTCGCGCACTTTCTGCGATGGCTCGTCCAAGAGACAGCTGCACTGCTAAAGACAAAAATATAGCCATTTGTGCTGCTGTGATGCTTCTTGTCTTAGGGGCAATTGTTGGGGGGGGGGGGAGTGAGGTTCCAGGGGGGGCGGCTGAAAAGGGGGTGAGGTTAAGAGGGGTGGCTGGCTGGAGTGGCGATTCGGGGGTTAGTAAGAGGGGTTCGCCACTCCCCCCCCCACCTCCTCTCCTTATCCCTCTCTCACCTCCCCCTTTCGTATTTCGCATCCCTCTCCTCTCCACTCTCTCTCTCTCTCTCTCTCTCTCTCTCTCTCTCTCTCTCTCTCTCTCTCTCTCTGGGGTGAGTGTGCCCTCGGCACGGACGTCCTTGAGGACAGACAGGAGGAGTTCCACTGCCTTGCTGCTGCTTTGCCCCGTCTCGTGTCCTTGCTAGTTGCCCCTGAGGGAGACCCGGATGCACCAGACATCCCGACCCCACGCTCTTACGCTGAGGCGATGGCGGGTCCCTACTCCTCTCAGTGGCAGACAGCCATGGACGCAGAGATGGCCTCCTGGAAGTCCACAGGCACCTACGTAGACGAGGTTCCCCCTCCTGGGGCGAACATCGTCAGTGGCATGTGGATTTTCAGGGTGAAGCGGCCGCCGGGTTCTCCACCTGTCTTCAAGGCGCGCTACGTGGCTCGAGGCTTCAGTCAGCGAGAGGGAGTTGACTTCTTTCAGACCTTCTCCCCCACCCCGAAGATGACTACTCTTCGGGTGCTGCTGCACATAGCCGCTCACCGCGACTACGAGCTTCACTCTCTTGACTTCAGCACTGCTTTCTTGCAGGGCAGCCTGCACGAGGAGATCTGGCTGCGCCGCCCCCCTGGCTTCACTGGGTCAGTTCCTCCTGGCACCCAGTGGAGGCTTCAGCGGCCGGTCTACGGTCTCCGCCAGGCGCCACGTGAGTGGCACGACACACTGAGGACGACACTTGCGGCTCTTGGGTTCGCTCCCTCTACTGCTGACCCGTCGCTGTTTCTACGCACCGACACCTCGCTGCCGCCGTTCTACATCCTCGTGTACGTCGACGACTTGGTCTTTGCCACTGCTGACACCGCGGCACTCGCTCACGTGAAGTCGGAGCTGCAGAGGAGACACACGTGCACAGACCTGGGTGAGCTGACGAGCTATCTTGGCTTGCGGATCACCCGGGACAGAGCACGGCGCACCATCACCCTGACTCAGTCACACATGGTGCAGCAGGTTCTCCAGCGCTTCCGCTTCACGTACTCCTCGCCTCAGTCCACTCCTCTGCCTACCGGTCACTCGCTCTCAGCTCTGCCTTCGGATGAGTCCGTAGAGCCGAGTGGCCCGTATCCAGAGCTTGTGGGCTGCCTCATGTACCTGATGACCTGCACTCGACCTGACCTTGCATACCCTCTTAGCATCCTAGCACGCTATGTCGCTCCTGGCCGTCACCGGAAGGAGCACATGGATGCTGCTAAGAGGGTGTTGCGCTACTTGTGCAGTACGTCGGGCATGGGGCTTGTGCTTGGAGGGCGAGACCGGGTTGTTCTCACAGGGCACTCAGACGCTTCTTGGGCGGACGACCAGGCTACTCAGCGGTCGTCCCAGGGTTACACCTTCAGCCTTGGCTCTGGCTCAGTTTCTTGGCGTTCTACTCGCTCTTCTTCTGTTCTCAGCTCCAGTTGTGAGGCTGAGATCTACGCCACAGCCATGGCTGCCCAGGAGCTACGCTGGCTGACCTACCTGCTGACCGACCTCGGAGAGCGGCCTCGTTCTCCTCCAGTGCTGTACGTCGACAACAAGGCTGCCATTGCCTTGTGTGAGGAGCACAGACTGGAGCACAGAACGAAGCACATCGCTCTGCGGTACTTCCTTGCTCGAGAGCTGCAGCAGCGTGGTCAGCTTTGTCTGCGTTACGTGGCCACGGAGGCCAACACTGCTGATGTGTTCACCAAGGCTCTTCAGCCTTGTGACCATCAGCGCTTTTGCACTCTACTAGGCCTTGTACCTACTGGGCCTCACTTGCTTACCTCTTGACCTTGCTTGTACTGTGATCACTATATATATATGCCTACTTGTTTACTTTTGCTAGGTTGTGATCACTGTATCTCTTGCTTTGTTATAAACCTGCATGTGAACTGGTCTTGTGACCGCTTGCTTGTGCTCGGAATTTGTGTGGAATCCTTGAGATCCACCCTGAGCTTGCTTTACTTTGCTTTGACTGGTCTTGTGACCCTGTGGTTGTCTCCCACTGCGCCTATGGGGGTGTGTCAAACATTGCATGTTTATATTGTCTAGGCTGTAGTGGGTTACACCTTAGGGGGTACACAAAGTTAGGGTTTCCTACTTGTACCAAACTCTGTTCTAGTTCATTCATTCCTGCTCAGTTATTTCTGACAGAGTCAACTACAACCGGCTGCAGAGGTGGCGAAGACGATCGAGGGGTCTCCAAGCGTGGTGAGCGGCGGGGGGGGCACCGCGTCGTCAGCAGCAACGTCACCCCCCTCAGCTGGGCCAGAGGTGTCAGAAGTAACCTCAACAGGCAAAGCCAAGGGGAGCGGGTCTACCATAGGCACACCTGAAGGAGCAGGACCCTGAGGGGGGAGGGGGTCTACCGGAGGGGGACCTGGAGCGAGGAAAAGCGGCGGGGGAGGGAGAGGGGCAGTGCGGTAGGGGAAGAGATGGTAGAAAGGAACCGACTGGTCAAAGGTGACATCCTGAGAGGGGAAGACACGGTGCGAGGTGGGGTGGTAAAACTGCCAGCCATGCGAGTCAGGGACAAAGCCGAGGAAGATACAAGGAATGGTGCGGGAGGAGAGCTTGTCCGCGGACGTATCGTGTCAAACATTATATATGTTGTGTTTGTTTAGGCTACAGTGGGTTAGCCTATAGGGGGTACACAATTCTAGGGTTAGGTACTTGTACTGATTTCACTGCTAGTTCAATCATTCCTGTCTGTTGATTTCGACATGGTATCAGAGCAGGTCCTTCACTAGAACCATTCTTAGGGCCCACCGCTACCTACCTACCTACCTACCTACCTACCTACCTACCGTGCGCCCTCGTGCGCCTACGCGCCCCAGTGCGCCTCCTACCTACCGCGCGCGCGCAGCCCGCCAGCCAATCGCGCGCGGCTCGTTTTTTTTTTTTTTTTTTTTTTTAACCGCGCGCGACCCGCTAGCTGCCCGCGCGCGGCCGATTTCTTTTGAGCGCGACCGGCTAGCCGCCCGTGCGCCGCTCGCACCGCTATAGCGCAGCCCGCAGCGGCCCCGCGGGCCTGCACATTGCCCCCACCCGCTGCAGCGCCTGCCCGCTCGTCGCCCGCTGCAGCTGCCGCCCGCTCGTCGCCCGCTGCAGCTGCCGCCCGCTCGTCGCTCGCTGCTGCTGCCGCCCGCTCGTCGCCCGCTGCAGCGCCTGCCCGCTCGTCGCCCGCTGCAGCTGCCGCTCGCTCGTCGCCCGCTGCTGCTGCCGCCCGCTCGTCGCCCGCTGCAGCTGCCGCTCGCTCGTCGCCCGCTGCTGCTGCCGCCCGCTCGTCGCTCGCTGCAGCTGCCGCCCGCTCGTCGCTCGCTGCTGCTGCCGCCCGCTCGTCGCCCGCTGCAGCGCCTGCCCGCTCGTCGCCCGCTGCAGCTGCCGCCCGCTCGTCGCCCGCTGCTGCTGCCGCCCGCTCGTCGCCCGCTGCAGCTGCCGCCCGCTCGTCGCCCGCTGCTGCTGCCGCCCGCTCGTCGCCCGCTGCAGCTGCCGCCTGCTTGTCGCCCGCTGCAGCTGCCGCTACCACGGGCTCGCCGCTGCAGCTACCGCCTGCGCGTCGCCCGCAGCCGCTCCCGCTCGTGCGCCGCGGCCGCTACCGCCCGTGCGCTCCTGTTGCGCCTGCTACCGCTGCCGCTGCTGCACTCGCTCCCACTGCGGCCGCCGCTTCTGCGCCCACTGCCGCTCCCGCCCGTGCGCATCAGCTGCTGCCGCCCGTGTGCTGACACTGCCGCTATGGCTACTCCGCTGTACTTACTTTCGATGCTGAGGGCCGTCCAGTGAAGTTCGAAACCTGGCTCGATGACCTCCACCTCTTTCTACAGCTCACTGCTAAGGAGGACGTTTCACTGTACGATCACGCCCTAGGCAACGCTACTGCCCCTCCTACCACTGCTGACAGCACTCAGCGCTCACAGTGGCAGACTCGTGACGCCCACGCTCGCTTCGCTATTCGTAACTCCCTACCGATCGACGAGCGCGAGCACTTTGGCCAGCACAAAACTGCTAAGGACCTGTACACTGCTGTAGTCGCTCGCTACTCCTCCCCCGCTTCTGCCACACTAGGCCGCCTCACTCTCCCCTACCTGTTCCCCGACCTGGCCTCCTTTCAGACAGTTGCTGACCTCATCACCCACCTTAAGACCAGTGAGGCCCGCTTTCGCGCTGCTATGCCTGACGAGTTCCTCACCAGCAACCCCCCCCCGCTCTGGATCACTCTCTACCACATAGTCACCCGCCTCCCCGACTCCCTGCGCACAGTCAGGGACCACTTCCTCTCTCGCTCCCCCACTGAACTCACCATTGCCCTCCTCGAGAAGGAACTGCTTGCAGCTGAGGCGAGCATCGTTGCTGTAGGCACCTCTCGTGGCGACCCCCGCACCCCGTTCTTTGAGGGGTGTTCCCCTTCCCCTCTCCTCCCCTCTGTCGCCTCTGCTGCTGCTGTCGACCTCCTTGGTGCTGGGAAGGTCGGGGCCGCGTCTGCTTCGAGCGGGCGCCGCAAGAGCAAAGGGGGCAAGGGTGGAGGTGGCGGCGGAGGAGGTGGGGGTGGAGGCGGTGGGAGTGGAGGAGCGGCTGGGGAGGCTAGTGGCGGCAGTGGGGGTGGTGACAGCAGCGGCGGGAGTGGCGGCAGGGGTGGAGGCGGCAGCGGAGGCGGAGGTGGTCGTGGCAGCGGCAGGGGTGGAGGTGGCCGAGGCGGTGGCGGCGGCAGTGGTGGTCGTGGAGGCGCTGGCGGTGGCCAGAGTCAGCAGCCCGCCCCGTCGCTTCAGGCCGCCCGTGAGTGGTATGCGCAGCGTGGCTTTACCTGCACGTACGTCATTCGCACTGGTGACCGCACTGGCCAGCAGTGTGGGAGGCCGCATCCCACACAGCGCTGTTTCGCGCGCCTTACTGACGCGTGGCGTGCCCAGTTTCCTGATGCCACTGACCTGCCCCGCTGGGCTGATCTGGAGAAGAAGGGAGTTGATATCTGGGCTTTAGACTTTGATGCTATTCTCACTGCCATGTATGCGATGTTTACTAGTGGAGAGGGTGCTCAGTACTTGCGTGTTCCGCCCGACCCGGGCATTCAGACCAGTCCGGCTGCCGCTCTAGGTGCTAGTGAGTCTGCTGCCCCAGGTCCTGGTGAGGCTGCTGCTCTAGGTGCTAGTGAGTCCGTGCCCTCTGGTACTGAGTCGACTGCAGCACTGCACACCTTCACACTGGACTCAGGTGCTTCTCGCTGTTTCTTTCGTGACCGCACTGTCCTTGAGCCGCTTGCTCGGCCAGTTGCTGTCTCCCTCGCTGACCCCTCTGGGGGTCCGGTCGTTGCGACCTCCTCCACTGTCCTTCCTTGTCCTGTGGTTCCGTCAGGCACACTGTCAGGTCTCTACCTCCCCTCGTTCTCTACGAACTTGGTGGCAGGTAGTGCGCTCCAGGACGGGGGTGTTCACCAGTTCACCCCTGCTTACGAGCGCGTGACCCACTGCACGTGTGCTCGGACGGGCCGTCACCTGGCTACCTTCACTCGGCAGCCGGGGTCGGACCTGTACACACTGACCACTAAGTCCCCTCAGGTAGCTGCGTCCGCGTCTGCGTCTGCGTCAGGTCAGCTGTCCGCCCCCTGCTCGTGTCGCTCTCTGGCGCATGAGACTGTCCTCTGGCACCACCGCCTTGGTCACCCGTCTGTGCAGCGCCTTCGGGCCATGCACAAACGGGACCTTGTTGCTGGTCTTCCCAGGGTTCTCCCTCCCCTCCCACCCTCGCCTGCTCCTCCCTGTCTTCCCTGTGTCGAGGGGCGGCAGCGCGCCGCTCCTCACTCCTCCTCCTTCCCCCCGACGACTGCTCCTTTGCAGACGCTCCACATGGACGTGTGGGGCCCAGCCCGAGTCCGTGGTCAGGGTCAGGAGAGGTACTTCCTGATTGTTGTTGACGACTTCTCGCGCTACACCACGGTCTTCCCCTTGCGCACCAAGGGTGACGTCCCTGATGTCTTGATCCCTTGGATCCGCAGATCTCGTCTCCAGCTCAGTGAGCGTTTCCGCTCCGACTTCCCTGTCCTGCGTCTGCACTCTGACAGAGGTGGGGAGTTTTCCTCTGGCCTCTTGGAGGCCTTCTGTCAGCAGGAGGGCATTGAGCAGTCGTTCACGCTTCCGGCCTCTCCACAGCAGAATGGGGTTGCTGAGCGCCGCATTGGCTTGGTCATGGAGGTCGCTCGTACCTCCTTGGTTCATGCGGCTGCCCCCCACTTTCTGTGGCCGTTTGCAGTCCGATACGCTGCGCATCAGCTCAACCTCTGGCCCCGTGTCTCCTTACCGGAGACTTCTCCGACACTGCGTTGGACGGGAGAGGCTGGCGATGTGTCGCGTTTTCGGGTCTGGGGATCTCGAGCTTTTGTTCGCGATACGTCCGCGGACAAGCTCTCCCGTCGAGCTGTCCCCTGTGTCTTCCTTGGCTTTGTCCCGGACGCGCCTGGTTGGCAGTTCTACCACGCCACCTCGCGTCGTGTCCTGGCCTCTCAGGACGTCACTTTTGACGAGTCCGTCCCCTACTACCGCCTCTTCCCCTACCGCACTGCCCCGCTCCCCCCCCCGCCTCTCTTCCTCGCTCCAGGTGCTGAGGTACCAGACCCCCTCCCCCCTCAGGGTGCCGCTCCCTCAGGTGTGTCCCAGGTAGACCCGGTTGAGCCTGTCGAGGTAGCTGTTGACTCTCGTCCTGCTGGGGGTGCTGAGCCTGACCGTGAGGAGTCTGAGGGTACTGAGCCTGGGGGTGTGGAGCCTGGGGGTGCGGAGCCTGGGGGTGCGGAGCCTGGGGGTGCTGAGCCTGGGGGTGCGGAGCCTGGGGGTGCGGAGCCTGGGGGTGCTGAGCCTGGGGGTGCTGAGCCTGGGGGTACTGAGCCTGGGGGTGCTGAGTCTGGGGGTGCTGAGTCTGGGGGTGCTGAGCCTGAGCGTGCTACACCTGGAGGAGCCCTCTCCTCCCGGCAGCTGCAGGAGCGGTACCTACAGTACTGCCGCCTCCGGAGAGGTGCTGCTGGAGCTCGTACCAGTACTTCCCCTCCTGCCCAGGAGCTCCCCCCCATTCAGCAGATCCGAGAGTGGTACACGCGGCGCTGCAGTCTTCGGAGTGGTGCTCCTGGTGCTGCGGACCCTGAGGGTGGCGCTGCTACTAGTGCTGAGGACCCTGGCGTTGGAGCTGCTGCTGGTGCTGCGGACCCGAGCGGTGGCGCTGCTGCTGGTGCTGAGGACCCGGGCGTTGGAGCTACTGCTGGAGCTGAGGACCCGGACGGTGGAGCTGCTGCTGGTGCTGAGGACCCGAGCGGTGGAGCTGCTGCTGGTGCTGAGGACCCGGACGTTGGAGCTGCTGCTGGTGCTGAGGACCCTGCCGCTGGTGTCTCTGCTGGTTCTGGAGACGCTACGCGGCCGCGACCGTACTTCGTACCACTTCTTCAGCAGGTTCTTGGTCAGGCTCCTCCTCCTTGTCCTCCTCCCTCCGTAGAGTGTCCTCCGCCTGTCCAGTCGCAGTCACAGTTCCCGCCTGCCTCGCCTCTCCCTGGTCCCTCTCCTTACACTGGTCCCACAGGAGGTCTTACAGAGCGTCGTGAGCCTGAGTCTCGTCCTGCGTCGCCTGTTCGTACTGCTCGCACTGGTCGTCGTGTCCCACGTGAGCGTCCTCCTCCTGTCCCTGGCACTCACTACATGACTCTGCGTCCCTCCACTGCTCCTCAGCGTGTTCCGCTGCCGTCTCCTCCTGCGTCCTCTCTGCCTACTCTTCCTGATCCGGAGTCTGACTCCCGTCGTGCTGCCAGTCCCACTGTCACCCGTCTCCTCGCTACTGTTGTCACTGACCCTACCTTTGAGTCCTCTGCTGCGTCTGCTCTGGTCGCTGAGTTGATAGACTACGCCACTAGCCTTGTTGCTGAGTGTTGCTGAGCCTGAGTCTGTCTGTCCTCCGTCCGTCGGGGGTGAGTGTGCTCTTGGCACGGACGTCCTTGAGGACAGACAGGAGGAGTTCCAGTGCTTTGCTGCTGCTTTACCCCACCTCGTGTCCATGCTAGTTGCCCCTGAGGGAGACCCGGATGCACCAGACATCCCGACCCCGCGCACTTACGCTGAGGCGATGGCGGGTCCCTACTCCTCTCAGTGGCAGACAGCCATGGACGCAGAGATGGCTTCTTGGAAGTCCACAGGCACCTACGTCGACGAGGTTCCCCCACCTGGGGCGAACATCGTCAGTGGCATGTGGATTTTCAGGGTGAAGCGGCCACCGGGTTCTCCTCCTGTCTTCAAGGCGCGCTACGTGGCTCGAGGCTTCAGTTAGCGAGAGGGAGTTGACTTCTTTCAGACCTTCTCCCCCACCCCGAAGATGACCACTCTTCGGGTGCTGCTGCACATAGCCGCTCACCGCGACTACGAGCTTCACTCACTTGACTTCAGCACTGCTTTCTTGCAGGGCAGCCTACACGAGGAGATCTGGCTGCGCCGCCCTCCTGGCTTCACTGGGTTGGTTCCTCCTGGTACCCAGTGGAGGCTTCAGCGGCCGGTCTACGGTCTCCGCCAGGCACCGCATGAGTGGCACGACACACTGAGGACGACACTTGCGGCTCTTGGGTTCGCTCCCTCTACTGCTGACCCGTCACTGTTTCTACGCACAGACACCTCACTGCTGCCGTTCTACATCCTCGTGTACGTCGACGACTTGGTCTTTGCCACTGCTGACACCGCGGCACTCGCCCACGTGAAGTCGGAGCTGCAGAGGAGACACACGTGCACAGACCTAGGTGAACTGACAAGCTATCTTGGCTTGCGGATCACCCGGGACAGAGCACGGCGCACCATCACCTTGACTCAGTCACACATGGTGCAGCAGATCCTTCAGCGCTTCCGCTTCACGTACTCCTCGCCTCAGTCCACTCCTCTGCCTACCGGTCACTCGCTCTCAGCTCTGCCTTCGGATGAGTCCGTAGAGCCGAGTGGCCCGTATCCAGAGCTTGTGGGCTGCCTCATGTACCTGATGACCTGCACTCGACCTGACCTTGCATACCCTCTTAGCATCCTTGCACGCTATGTCGCTCCTGACCGTCACAGGAAGGAGCACATGGATGCCGCTAAGAGGGTGTTGCGCTACTTGTGCAGTACGTCGGGCATGGGGCTAGTGCTTGGAGGGCGAGACCGAGTTGTACTTACTGGACACTCAGACGCTTCTTGGGCGGACGACCAGGCTACTCAGCAGTCGTCTCAGGGTTACACCTTCAGCCTTGGCTCCGGCTCAGTTTCTTGGCGTTCTACACGCTCTTCTTCTGTTCTCAGCTCCAGTTGTGAGGCTGAGATCTACGCCACAGCCATGGCTGCCCAGGAGCTACGCTGGCTGACCTACCTGCTGACCGACTTGGGAGAGCGGCCTCGTTCTCCTCCAGTGCTGTACGTCGACAACCAGGCTGCCATTGCCTTGTGTGAGGAGCACAGACTGGAGCACAGAACGAAGCACATCGCCCTGCGGTACTTCCTTGCTCGAGAGCTGCAGCAGCGTGGTCAGCTTCGTCTACGTTACGTGGCCACTGAGGCCAACCTTGCTGATGTGTTCACCAAGGCGCTTCAGCCTTGTGACCATCAGCGTTTCTGTACTCTTCTAGGCCTTGTGCCTGCTGGACCTCACTTACTTACTTCTTGACTCTGCTTGTACTGTGATCTTTATATATATGCCTGCATGTTTACACTTGCTAGGTTGTGATCACTGTATCTCTTGCTATATTATCAACCTGCATGTGAACTGGTCTTGTGACCACTTGCTTGTGCTCGGAATTTGTGTGGTATCCTTGAGATCCACCCTGAGCTTGTTTTGCTTTGCTTTGACTGGTCTTGTGACCCCTTGCTCTCCCCCACTTTGCCTATGGGGGTGTGTCAAACATTATATATGTTGTGTTTGTTTAGGCTACAGTGGGTTAGCCTATAGGGGGTACACAATTCTAGGGTTAGGTACTTGTACTGATTTCACTGCTAGTTCAATCATTCCTGTCTGTTGATTTCGACATATCGCGGACAAGGGCACGAGCACCCCAGACTCGGAAACGCGACGCATTGCCAACCTCTCCCGTCCAACGCAGTGTGGGCGAGGTGTCTAGCAAGGAGACATGGGGCCAAGAGGTTGAGCTGATGCGCGGCGTACCGAACCGCAAACGGCCACAAAAAATGGGGAGCCGCCGCATGGATCAAGGAGGTACGAGCGATCTCCATGACCAAGCCAATGCGGCGCTCAGCAACCCCATTTTTCTGCGGTGAGCCCGGAAGCGTAAACGGCTGCTCGATGCCCTCCCCCCGACAGAAGGCCTGCAAGAGGTCAGAGGTGAACTCACCACCTCTGTCAGAGTGCAGACGCAAGACAGGTTGGTCCGTACGAAACCTCCGGTGGAGCTGGAGACGAACTCCTCGGATCCAAGGGATCATGACAGTAGGGACCTCACCCTTGGTGCGCAAGGGGAAGACCGTGGTGTAACGCGAGGAGTCGTCGACTGCCAGCAGAAAGTACCGCTCACCGCCCTGTCCACGAACGCGGGCTGGGCCCCACACGTCCAGGTGGAGGGTCTGCAGAGGAGCCTCGGTCGGGGGAAACGAGGAGGAGTGAGGAGCGGCGCGCTGCCGCCCCTCGACGCAAGGAAGGCAGGGCGGCGCAGGCGAGGCAGGGAGGGGAGGGAGAGACCTGGGAAGACCAGAGACAAGGAGGCGACGGTGCATGCCACGTAGACGTGGCAAGGAGGGGTGACCCAGACGGTGGTGCCAGAGAAGAGTCTGGTGCGACAGGGAGCGACACTCACAAGGGGAGGCTACCAGACCTGACGCAGACACCTGACCGACAGCAGCGACCTGAGGAGACACAGTCGTCAGTGTGTAAAGACTCGACCCTGGCCGACGGGTGAACGTGGCCAGGTGACGGCCAGTCCTGGAGCACGTACAGATTGCCACACGCTGTCCTCCAGGGGTAAAGGTGTCAACCCAATGATCCTGGATGACTACGTTGCTCACCAAGTTTGTCGAGAACGAGGGGAGGTGGAGACCTGACAGTGAGCTAGACAGGAGCGCCGGGCACGGACGTGGTGGACCGTGCAAGAACTGGGCCCCCTGAGGGGTCAGCCGGAGAGACGGCAACAGATGCAGGGAGTGTTGTGCGTGCGGTCACGGAAGAAACAGCGAGAAGCACCTGAGTCAAGCGTGAAGGTGGGCAAGGCCTCAGCAGGCGCAGTACCTGAGAGAGCAGACTCGCTCGCACCTAAGGCAGCAGCCTCTATACCTAATTCTGGTGTGAAGGTGTGCAAGGCCTCAGCAGGCGCAGTACCTGAGAGAGCAGACTCGCTCGCACCTAAGGCAGCAGCCTCTATACCTGGGTCAGGCGGCATACACAAGAAACAGTCACCGTCAGCACTAACTTCGAATGCGTACATAGCAGAAATAATAGCATCAAAGTTAAGAGAAAAAATGTCTACACCAGCCTTAAGCAGATCATGCAAGCGAGGGCGCTCATACTCCTCGCCCATCTCCTCACGCCAGGCGTCGTCAAGGCGGGAGAAGCAGCGGTACTGGGTGTGGAACTTCCTGCATGGCTTACCCTTGTGGTCACCTGTGCGAAGGACATACGGGCAGCGACCACCACCCCCAGACTTCCCACGCTGAGCAAGCCACTCACGAAGCTGCTGGGATGTCTGGGGACGCTGCTGCTGCTGCTGTCTCTGGCCAGCGCCAGTGCCTCCACCCCGACCGCCACCGCCGCCACCTCCACCAGCTGCTGGGATGTCAGACCCGCCACCGCAGACGCCACCACCGCCCCGGCCGCCACCGCCACCGCCACCCCCACCGCCGCCACCGCCTCCACCACCGCTACCGACGCTACCACTCCCACCAGCACTCCCGCCACCAGCCCCTCCGCCACGTCCTCCTCCTCCACCTCCTCCACCACCACCCCCCCTCCCCCCCCAGTGCCACCTCCGCTACCCTTGGCTCCCTTGCCCTTGCCGTTGCGGCGCCTCCCACTAGGAGCAGAAACAGCACCAGCAAACTCAGCACCAATGAAGGCAACAGCAATAGCAGTAGCGAAGGAGGGGGCGAGGGGAGAGGGAGAGCACCCCTCAAATATGGGGTGATGGGGAGCGCCAAGAGCAGCACCTACAGTGACTATGTTCTTCTCTGCTGCAAGGAGGTGCTCCTCTAGGAGGTCGACAGTGAGCTCGGTGGGACAGCGAGCGAGAAAGTGGTCCCTGACCGAGCTATGAAGTGGAGGGTCCAGTACATCGGAGGTGGGTTCTTAGTACAAAACTCTCTGGGGAGGGCGGCGCGAAGGCGAGTGTCACTTGTACAAAGTTGGGTGATGAGATCCGCAACTGTGGCAAAGGTAGGGCAGCATGAGGCGGCTAAGCTCAGCAGTGGCAGGGGAGGAGTATCGAGCAACTACAAGGTCGTACAGGGCCTTAGCGGTTTTGTGCTCGCCAAAATGCGTGAGTTCGGCTAACGGCAGGTGATTGCGAACGGCTAGGCGAGCAGTATCATCACGAGTCTGCCACTGGGAACGGGCGCTAAGCTCAGCTGTGGCAGCAGGAGCGACTGAGGCACCAGACGTGTGGTCATAGAGAGAGACATTGTCCTTGCTATCGCTCATTAGGAACAGCTGCAAGTCATTGAGCTAGGTCTCGAACTGAATTGGGCGGCCCTCAGCATCGAACGACAGAACGCGGAGGGTGGCCATAGCTGCCGGCGCGGGACTAACAGGGCACAGCGATTGCAGGCAAGCAGCTGTAGCAGGGGCGGCGCGCTAGGGCGTAGCAGGCAGCCACGATAGAGGCAGGCGGCGCACGGGGCTACAGGTGGCCGGCAGGGCAGTAGGGCGGGCTGCGCGCAGGGCATAGCTAGTGTCTCTGGCAGCAGGGCAGGCGGCGCACGAGGCAGCAGGGCGGGCGGCGCACGAGGCTGCGGGGCAGCGTGACGGGCGCCGCGCAGGTGCAGCAGGCAGTCGCAGCAGCAAGGCGCGCGGGGCGTAGCAGGCAGCTGCGGCAGAGGCAGGCGGCGCACGGGGCTACAGGCGGCCGGAGGCAGCAGGGCGGGCCGCGCGCAGGGCGTAGCAGGCGGCTGCGGCAGCGGGGCAGGCGGCGCACGAGGCAGCAGGGCGGGCGGCGCACGAGGCTGCAGGGCAGCGTGGCGGGCGGCGCGCAGGCGCAGCAGGCAGCCGCAGCAGCAGGGCGGGCGGCGCACGGGGCTGTAGGGCAGCGCGATGGGCGGCGCGTGGGGCGTAGGCGGCTGGCGAGGCAGCGCGCGGGGCACGCGGGCTGCTAGCGGGCGGCGCGCGAGCTGGCAGAAGCTGCGCGCGGGCAGCGGGCGGGTCGCGCGAGCTGCTAGCGGGCAGCGTGCGGGCCAGCAGAGGCGACGCGCGGGCCGCGTGGGCTGCTAGCGGCGCGGCGCAGGGAAGGGCAGGGCGTGCGCAGGGCTGCGCAATGCAGGACAAGGCAGGGCAGACAGACTCAGACTCAGACTCAGCAACGAGGCTAGTGGCGTAGTCTAGACGACAGGCAGCAGCAAAGTCAACTAACTCAGCGACCAGAGAAGACGCAGCGGTGGACTCAAAGGTAGGGTCAGTGACAACAGTAGCGAGGAGACGGGTGACAGTGGGACTGGTAGCACGACGGGAGTCAGACTCCGGATCAGGAAGAGTAGGCAGAGAGGACGCAGGAGGAGACGGCAGCGGAACACGCTGAGGAGCAGTGGAGGGACGCAGAGTCATGTAGTGAGTGCCAGGGACAGGAGGAGGACGCTCACGTGGGACACGACGACCAGTGCGAGCACGACGAACAGGCGACGCAGGACGAGACTCAGGCTCACGACGCTCGGTAAGACCTCCTGTGGGACCAGTGTAAGGAGAGGGACCAGGGAGAAGCGAGGCAGGCGGGAACTGTGACAGCGACTGGACAGGCGGAGGACACTCGACGGAGGGAGGAGGACAAGGAGGAGGAGCCTGACCAAGAACCTGCTGAAGAAGCGGGACGAAGTACGGTCGCGGTCGCGGCCGCGCAGCGTCTCCAGAACCAGCAGAGACACCAGCAGCAGGGTCCTCAGCACCAGCAGCAGCTCCAACGTCCGGGTCCTCAGCACCAGCAGCAGCTCCACCGTCTGGGTCCTCAGCTCCAGTAGTAGCTCCAACGCCCGGGTCCGCAGCACCAGCAGCAGCGCCACCGCTCGGGTCCGCAGCACCAGCAGGAACTCCACCAGCCGGGTCCTCAGCTCCAGCAGCAGCTCCACCGCTCGGGTCCCCAGCTCCAGCAGCAGCTCCACCGTCCGGGTCCTCAGCTCCAGCAGTAGCTCCAACGCCCGGGTCCTCAGCACCAGCAGCAGCGCCACCCCCAGGGTCCGCAGCACCAGGAGCACCACTCCGAAGACTGCAGCGCCGCGTGTACCACTCTCGGATCTGCTGAATGGGGGGGAGCTCCTGGGCAGGAGGGGAAGTACCGGAACGAGCTCCAGTAGCACTTCTTCGGAGGCGGCAGTACTGTAGGTACCTCTCCTGCAGCTGCTGGGAGGAGAGGGCTCCTCCAGGTGTAGCACGCTCAGGCTCAGCACCTCCAGACACAGCACCCCCAGACGCAGCACCCCCAGGCTCAGCACCTCCAGACTCCGCACCTCCAGGCTCAGCACCCCCAGACGCAGCACCTCCAGGCTCAGCACCCCCAGACTCCGCACCCCCAGGCTCAGCACCTCCAGGCTCCGCACCCCCAGGCTCCGCACCCCCAGGCTCCGCACCCTCAGACTCCTCACGGTCAGGCTCAGCACCCCCAGCAGGACGAGAGTCAACAGCTACCTCAGCAGGCTCAACCGGGTCTACCTGGGACACACCTGAGGGAGCGGCACCCTAAGGGTGGAGGGGGTCTGGGACCTCAGCACCTGGAGCGAGGAAGAGAGGCGGGGGGGGGAGCGGGGTAGTGCGGTAGGGGAAGAGGCGGTAGTAGGGGACGGACTCGTCAAACGTGACGTCCTGAGAGGCAAGGACCCGACGCGAGGTGGCGTGGTAGAACTGCCAACCAGGCGCGTCCGGGACAAAGCCAAGGAAAACACAGGGGACAGCTCGACGGGAGAGCTTGTCCGCGGACGTGTCGCGAACAAAAGCTCGGGATCCCCAGACCCGAAAACGCGACGCATCGCCAGCCTCTCCCGTCCAACGCAGTGTCGGAGAAGTCTCCGGTAAGGAGACACGGGGCCAGAGGTTGAGCTGATGCGCAGCGTATCGGACTGCAAACGGCCACAGAAAGTGGGGGGCAGCCGCATGAACCAGGGAGGTACGAGCGACCTCCATGACCAAGCCAATGCGGCGCTCAGCAACCCCATTCTGCTGCGGAGAGGCCGGAAGCGTGAACGACTGCTCAATGCCCTCCTGCTGACAGAAGGCCTCCAAGAGGCCAGAGGAAAACTCCCCACCTCTGTCAGAGTGCAGACGCAGGACAGGGAAGTCGGAGCGGAAACGCTCACTGAGCTGGAGACGAGATCTGCGGATCCAAGGGATCAAGACATCAGGGACGTCACCCTTGGCGCGCAAGGGGAAGACCGTGGTGTAGCGCGAGAAGTCGTCAACAACAATCAGGAAGTACCTCTCCTGACCCTGACCACGGACGCGGGCTGGGCCCCACACGTCCATGTGGAGCGTCTGCAAAGGAGCAGTCGTCGGGGGGAAGGAGGAGGAGTGAGGAGCGGCGCGCTGCCGCCCCTCGACACAGGGAAGACAGGGAGGAGCAGGCGAGGGTGGCAGGGGAGGGAGAACCCTGGGAAGACCAGCAACAAGGTCCCGTTTGTGCATGGCCCGAAGGCGCTGCACAGACGGGTGACCAAGGCGGTGGTGCCAGAGGACAGTCTCATGCGCCAGAGAGCGACACGAGCAGGGGGCGGACAGCTGACCTGACGCAGACGCAGACGCGGACGCAGCTACCTGAGGGGACTTAGTGGTCAGTGTGTACAGGTCCGACCCCGGCTGCCGAGTGAAGGTAGCCAGGTGACGGCCCGTCCGAGCACACGTGCAGTGGGTCACGCGCTCGTAAGCAGGGGTGAACTGGTGGACACCCCCATCCTGGAGCGCACTACCTGCCACCAAGTTCGTAGAGAACGAGGGGAGGTAGAGACCTGACAGCGTGCCTGACGGGACCGCAGGACAAGGAAGGACAGTGGAGGAGGTCGCAAAGACCGGACCCCCAGAGGGGTCAGCGAGGGAGACAGCAACTGGCCGAGCGAGTGGCTCAAGGACAGTGCGGTCACGAAAGAAACAGCGAGAAGCACCTGAGTCCAGGGTGAAGGTGTGCAGTGCTGCAGTCGACTCAGTACCAGCGGGCACGGACGCACGAGCACCTAGAGCAGCAGCCTCACCAGGACCTGAGGTGGCAGACACGCGAGCACCTGCAGTGGCGGTCTCACTAGCACCTAGAGCGGCAGCCTCACTCACACTACACGGCAGCTGCACCGGTCCGCGCCCAGAAGCTCCCGAACGACGCACTCCAGAGTGACTACCACGACCACCACCCCGAGAGCCCAAACTCGCGTACCACTCACGAGCCCGCTGGAGCGTAAGAGGACACTGCTGCTGCACCTGTCCACTACCAGATGCTCCCGAACAACGCACGCCAGAGCGACTACCACTACGGCCACCCCGACAGCCCAAACTGGCGTACCACTCACGAGCCCGCTGGAGCGTAAGAGGACACTGCTGCTGCACCTGTCCACTACCAGATGCTCCCGAACAACGCACGCCAGAGCGACTACCACTACGGCCACCCCGACAGCCCAAACTGGCGTACCACTCTCGGGCCCGCTGGAGCGTAAGAGGACACTGCTGCTGCACCTGTCCACTACCAGATGCTCCCGAACAACGCACGCCAGAGCGACTACCACTACGGCCACCCCGACAGCCCAAACTGGCGTACCACTCTCGGGCCCGCTGGAGCGTAAGAGGACACTGCTGCTGCACCTGTCCACTACCAGATGCTCCCGAACAACGCACTCCAGAGCGACGACCACGACGGCCACCCCGACAGCCCCAACTAGCGTACCACGCACGCGCACGAAGCAGCTGGGGCGAAGGAGGGCACGGCAGCTGCACCTGTCCACTACCAGAAGCTCCCGACCGACCCACTCCAGAGCGACCACCACTACGGCCACCCCGACAGCCCCAACTAGCGTACCACTCACGCGCACGAAGCTGCTGGGGCGTGAGAGACTCACGCGCACGGCCCTGGAGCTGCATCTGGCCACGCCAGGAGCAGCAGTAGTAGCAGTAGCGGCAGCAACAGTAGTAACAGCAGGAGCTGTGGCAGTGGGAGTAGAAAAGGCAGTAGCAGCAGTAGCAGCAGTAGCAGCGGTAGCAGTGCTGGGCAATGCTCACCAGTGGTCGGCGCGGCAGGCGCAAGACGGTGGCGACAGCGGGGCCGCTACAACTGCAGGGCTGGGCCGGGCCGCAGCAGGGAGCTCCGCGGCAGCTGCTGCAGGGCGAGGCCGGGCCGCGACGGCAGCTGCTCCAGGTGCCAGGGGCGGCTGCTGCAGTGGCGGCGGCTCCAGGGGCCAGGGGCGGCTGCTGCAGCGGTGGTTGCTCCAGGGGCCAGGGGCGGCTGCTGCAGGTGCGGGCTGCTCCAGGGGCAGCTGCTGCAGGTACGTGCTGCTCCAGAGGGGGCTGCTGCAGTGGCGGGCGGCTCCAGGGGCTGCTACTGCAGTGGCGGGCGGCTC